CTGCCAGCCCGAGCCGTCTCTCTGAGCAGGGCAGAGGAGGAGTGCAGGATTACTCGACCCTCCCCGCTCCACGATCGCCACTGCTGGCAGTGCTTGAGGAAACCCTTGAATCGACCTGGCCTGATCTCCTGCCTGTGCCAGCAGGACACAGAAAACAAACCTCGGAACGGCTTAACGTCGTCTGTCTGATGAAACGGCTGGAAACATCTGGCTTTTAATTATGTTTTTACGTTTGTATGAAAAGAAAATCTCAGTGAAAAAGACATGCAGTAGCTTCACTACCTAGAATCTATATAAACGGAGTTGCTGGAGTTGCACGGTGCTTTATAAACAAGAAGCTCAAACCGCACACTGCAAACATCATGTGTCAACATCTCCAGAATGAGGAAATAGTCAGTTTGAATAAAATATCAAAAACCTTTGCACGTTTAGATGTAAGGCCAATCCTTTCATCTGTAGGACAAAACTCAACTGACTGCAGAAAATACTGCAGTACTTACCATGCATCAGAGTCTCCATGCTGCAGTAGTGTCAGGCAAAGACACAGGTGACTGTGCACGGCCGAGGCAGCACAAACAAGTTATCAGTGTCGAAGTGATCCTCCCTATTTCCTGTCTCACACTGCAACACTACTGCTGGACACACAGGCTTCAAGCTGCTGGAGTACGGCCTTCTCAACACACTGCAAGTTAACTGGCAAGCAGCATAAACCAGGAGTGATTTTAGTTCAGGTCTGCACGTATGTGAGATCCATCAAGTGAAATGTAATAATACATCTTCTACAGAGCTATCTGACCCTTAAAGAATAAATAAGCTGAAAACGATGCAAGGTTTTAAACGCAGCAGTCAGGTAAGAGTTCCATCGTGGCTCTGGGGAAGACGAAAGTGTTCCTTACCTCATAACGCTACCTGGATTGGCAGGTGAAAATGAGGAACTGAGCCTTTTGCTCACAGATGACTGACTCCATCACATGGTGTTCAGTGCATTTGAGGAACTGACAACATAAAACAACATGCTAGAAAAGCTCAAAAGAACAGCACTGTCTGACATGCCTCTGCTGAGAGGGAGTGACTGT